ATATATTAAACATTTTAAAAACTTTTGAAGGGATATACTTAATTCCTGCAGCTGTTTGGGATGAAAAGGACGTGTGCAAATTTTCAGAACGATATCTCAAAAGCTGAGCGACTAGTTGGTACATATTCAGACAGGCGGACAGACAGACTAAATCGACACAGCTCGTCATGCTGATTATTTATATATATATTTTATAGGGTCTCTAACGTTTCCTTCTGGGTGTTACAAACTTCGTGGCAAACTTAAAGGGTATATCAGGGTGTAAAAATACCAAAAAACCTTGACAAAAAATTGTATATCAACGTTTTTTAAAACACTTGACTAGCAAATAATCACAATATCGAAAAATCAATACTATAATACAAGTAACTGAATGTAAATAATAACCTCAATTGCTAAATATTTCACTCTTTCACTCTTCGATTTACTCGCTCTCCAATTAACACCAAAAGATTTTTCCTTTCTTTCCATTACTTTGTGTTTTATCAAATTCACTGCAGTATTCAGCATCCCTTCAATAATCAATAACCGTTAGCTACAAATACATATGCGACCCAATTAAATAACCGAACCAAACAAGCCGAAATCAAAGTCCAATAAATTCATTCATTAAAATTGACGAAAAATTTGCAAAAACGCAATCACCGCTTCCGAATTAAATAAATAAAAGATGGTAAGTAAAAAAAAAAGCAAGCACAAAATAAATTCGCAATAGAAATCAGCACAAACTGAGCTGAAAGCGCACGTTGCACTCTCTACACACATACATACAAACATATCGTACATACTACGTATTTTGCATAATTGAGTAAAAAAATAAATACATTTTTGTGGCGCTAAATATTCGCGTGGCATTTCGGAAACAATTTTGTTAAAAAATAAAATATTGGCGAAATAAATTGAAAATAAAGTACTGAATTTGATGTTCGCTTGATGAATATTTTTGGAATTTATGAATGTGTGTTAATTGCGGTTAAGGGAAAAAAGAGCTAAAAAAAATGAACAGCGTAGAGAGCAGAAACATGAAAAAACGTGAACTTCAGTTGCTTGGCACCTTTCACAAATACAAAAGATTTTTTACAACAACTTGACTTACAATAGATCGTTCTATTAGTATGGCAGCTATATATTATAGTGAGCCGACAATGATTGCCTTGGGCAATAGACCGCGTCAAATTTGGTGCAAAAATCTCGTTAAAAGAAAAATCTTTCTATACAGGCACTTGGTTATGACCATTCAGTTTGTATGCTAGTTATAAGCTATAATGGCGGTTCCGATAACTAAGCAGCTTCTTCGATAGATGTTCAACCAAACCACGGGATCTCAGAATCTTATTTATAAAGCTATGACTTCAAGAAGCTAAATGTTGTATATTTGAGACAGTTTAAGCAGTTAAAAAACGCTTAAAGAAATTTTAAAATAAAAATTAAAATTTTTTTTGAGTAAATTAAAAGTTTTACGTTTCCAACACTTTAATCTTCTTACCCAACCCAACAAATTTTATAGTCCTTAACAAAACCTACGTATAAGACCTCTAGAGAAATAATAACAATGGGTTTTTCGATAGCGAAGTAGTCTGTGGTCATTTTTTTAAATCCTCATTAAATTGATCTGACGTTTAGTCAAGTTGCTGAGCTTAGTACTAAGAGGCTGAGTGGGTCAGAGTAGACGTTATAGACGCGTTAATAATTTAAAGGTTGTTTTCACGACGGAAAGACCAAGCCGTGAAGAATTATTCATGAAGAAATATCTGCCATTCTTAAAATGAAGAAGCAGAATTCTTAAAATAAATAAGTAGGTGAAGAAGGCGAAGAAAAAATAGAAGAAGAGAAGTAAGAAAAGGAAGAGGAAGGCGAAGAACAAAAATAAGAAACAACGAAAAAAGAGGAGAAAAAAAAAGAAAGCGTCTCTTACAGTATAATCTTATCGATATATGAGTGAATTTAAGTTTTTACCTGCGATTAAAGACCGTAACACAATACTTATGCCGACGCTTTAAAGCATTATACAAGTATGTTGGATGGCAGGAGCGAAGTTATTGGAGATATCTTCTCAAGGTAGAATTAAAAAATATAGCTTCAATTTCAAACTTTTGCTAAAACACAAGGAGTCTTTTAATGCTTTTACGCTTTTCATTCTCTTTTCTAATACCCTGAACGGAGTATACCATATTAAGGTCGCCACGAAGTTTGTAATGCCCACAGGCTCAATTTTCGAGGTATCGAACTGAAATTTCGCACACGTCTTATTTTTCCCAAGAGTTTGCTTATTTGTCGAAATTGCCGATATCAGACCATTTTAGTTAATATCTGTCATACAAACTGAACGATCGGAATCAAGTGCTTGTATGGAAAACTTTTTAATTTGACAGGATAGCTTCAAGAAATTTTGCATGGCTTATTGTTTAAGGCATTGTTGGAATATTCGTAGAAATTGTTCAGATCGGAGCGCTATAGCATATAGCTGTCATACAAACTAACCGAACAATATCAAGTTTTTGTATTGAAAACTTTTTTGATTGACAATATATCTTTATGCAATGCCGTATAAATTATTGTCCAGGGCAGCGAAATAATCTCCGTAAGTTTTTTTTTTTGGATCGAATCACTATAGCATATAGCTGACCGAACAAAATTAAGTTTTTATATGGAATTTTTTTTTTTTTTGTTTGTGAAGTGCATTCTAGCTTTGATGTAGTCAATTTTTTCTTCTTTTTGTTTATATTTTATTTTTTTCAGCTGGTAGAATCCTACCTACAACCGTATCTGACCCTCTTCAAACTTGTTAAACACAATTTGTAATTGTAATTACTTAGATCGTGCATTATTGTTGTTTGTGTGCGCTAGATAATTAAGCGCGACAGCCAAAATTAAATCGAGACAAGCGAAACATTTACATATATGTATGTGCATATGTATTAATGTATGCACGCGCAAAACAACACACTGTTACAAAAACATCTAACATCGCAGCCACTTAAAATGTGTGTGTAGGTTTCTGTATTGCGCTTAATAAATGTCAACGTGTCTGTCCACAGCACAGTTGTAATAAAAAGTAGCAACATAGACAGCAACAACAACAAAACAACAATTCTAGAAATAAAAATGTTAATGCGACATTACGACAACACATTAGTGCAAATAGAAGTAAAATAAAGCATGCTTTTTTATTGTTATTTTTGTTCTACTTCACAAATGTGCCTCCGCTCCGCAAATTTCTAAACGCCAATTTTCCACCTTCTCACTACGCGTCGACGCACCTTTGCGCCATGATAATCACCACAACGGTGTCAACTAATTTGTAAGTTGACAAAAAGGTTTATGGCGGCGCTCCAACATACATATACATATAAATTTACATATAAACACACACTCATACACACAGTCTGCTGTTCGTCGCCGGCGCATTTTGAAATAAAATAAGCAAGAAATATATACGAAAACGACGTAAAAGGCAAATTAATGTACAAACATGACCGTTAAATACTATAAAATGCATGACAACAAATCTCTTTACGGCCGCAACGTTGTAATTTGTTTAACGCAATCGCATTGAGTGTTTGCACAAGTGTGCCGTTGTTTGTGTTTGATTGAGTGTGTTAGCTTGTGCTGGCTTGTTCAACATATTGTCAACTGGTTTGTCTAATTTGTAGTACATGCGAACTTAAAAGCACCAGTAGATATATACTTAATTTTATACATATATACATATATATATATAAATACATACATACTAAATACATAAACAAATGCTGGTGTTGAAATAAATTTGTCTGGAATCGTTAGATAAATTTGTCATGATCATGTGTAATTTTTCAATATGACACTTTTACAGTTAATTTTACAAATTTATATACCTACAGCGGCATTTCATTATAAAATAAAGCCTAAAATTCGTTTTTCTTGAGAGACATATTGTTTTGAAAGTTTATCTAACAACGCAGCTTAACAATAAAACTACTTGGAATATGAAATTTAACATGAATATCTATGGAGATGATTCTCATTATAAATATAAAAAAAAAACAATACTAACTTCGGCTGCAGCGAAGCTATAATACCCATCACAAGTGCATATTTTATGGCATAAAAGTAAATAAAAAAAGTTTTATTTTGATTTTCATCAGTCAGTTTGTATGACAGCTATATGTTATAGAGCTAAGATCTGAACAATAGATTTGTAAATTGTAGCATTGACTTAGAAAAAAATTCGTGTCAAATTTCGTGAGTTTATCTCGTCAAATGAAAAAGTTTTTCATACAAGCGCTTATTTCCGATCGTTCAGTTTGTATGGCAGCTATATGCTATAGTGATTTGAACAGACCAATTTTTTCGTATATTGCACCATTGCTTTAAATAAGAATACATGCCAGATTTCGTGAAGATATTGTGTCAAATAAAAAAGTTTTCCATACATAGACTTGATTTTGATCAGTAACTTGTATGACAGCTATATCTTATAATGGTCCGATCTCGCTGACTCTTACAAAGGAACAGCTTCTTGGGGCGAAAATAATAGTTGCAAAATTTCCTATCGATATCTCAATAACTGTGGGACTAGTTCGCGTATATACAGCCAGACGAACAGATTTGAACAGCAGTAGTTGAGAGTCAAAATAATCAAGAGCATTCGGAGGATCGTGCGGTTGAGTCTCGGTTAACAGTGATCGATCGCGATCGCAACAGTCAAATGAGTGAACAAAATTAAATGAACTTCAATTCATGACGTTAGTAGAAGATTTTGAAAATAATTTTTAGTAAGTATAGGCAAGTGGATTTGAATCGATATTTATTTGGTGGAGCACGGGTTTGAGTCTGGACTAAAAGTGATCGATCACAACAGAATAAGTGGCACATATTATGTATATGGTATCATGTATGTCATAAGTAGTGTTTAAACAGATGCGTACCAACTAGTAACATTATATTTGAGCTAAGAATTGCAAAAATAAAAAACATGAAAGTCGAAAACACGCATACTGCTTTATAGATTGACTCACCTTTTGACACAACACAGCAAATTTGAGAATCTGCAAATTATAAATGAAATTCGTGAGTTAAATTGAAAATTTTTTTATGAAATTTAATAAATTTATTGTAAATAAAATTTATAAATAATATTATTGAAAGGTAAAAAAAAATTAACTTTTTAGATTTAAAAATGAATTGTATTTTTTGTCTGAAAAAAAATTAATATAATTATTTTCAGTTGTGTAAACCACCACCAAGTCCTTTGAATTACCTTTTTCTTAATTTATTTAAATTTCTTAACATATTGTACAAACAAAATATATATATTTTTTAATGAAAAAAATTGTTTCATCTAGTTGTTAATAAATCGGAGTTAAGTTAAAGCACAATTTACCAATTTTTTTACAGCCGCATAAAAAAAAAATATATCTCTTTCTCTTGAAAATCCAAAAAAAAAAAACAAATATTTTAAATGAATTCCATTTTCGGAATTAACTTATTTACCAACAATTTAAGCAAAACACTGTGAGGCCTTGAGAAAGTATTCACAGATATTGCATTTATTCATGCAAAATTCTATCACAACCTGCTACTGAAATGCGTCTAAAGTTTAAATATGTCTAACTAAGCTTTTATGCATAACAAACGAAAATTTATTTATCGTAAAATTTTTACTACCCTCAAGCAATGGTCCATTAAAAATTTTTAACATATGTCAGAGCAATAAAAGATCACATGCAAAATGTGTAATTTCATAATGACAATTGCGAAAACAACAAGAAGGTGGACTAGAAACATGCATAAAGAAATGAAAATACTGAAAGAAAATATTTGTAGCTAAAATACGTTAGAATATATACATTAGTATGTATGAATCTGTTTTGGTATAATATATACTGGCTTGTGAGCAATAATGAGCTTGAGTCATGCTTCTTGTAGCGAAAATAATAATTTAGAAAAGTATTAATGCATGTAGGTGCATATATTATATACATGCATGTATTATATATTCTATTTAAAATTTTATTGTTTGTTTTTGTAGCTTGAGACAGTTTTCTATGCAGTTTTTTGTAACTTATTTAAATATTAATATTTATACGCATATAATTACCACAAAGAGAAATATGTATTCTATGAGTATATATATACCTATATATATGTATCGACTATCTCTGGTTTATATCCAACTGATTTTTGTTGTAACTATTCCTGTTTGTCTATCTATGCATTTAACGTTTAATACTTAGCTTTACTGCAAATTCGTATGCATTAACTTATAATATCTACTACCATTTTTCTTTGTATGTAGCTGACATAAGCCGCCTAAGCTGTCATTTTTATTACATATTTACAATGTTTATTATGCATTTCTAAAAATTTAATTGTGAAATGACAGCATACGTTCCGTACTGATTGATGGAGAGACTAAATGTTATTGATATGTTTTACAGGCAACTAAATAATATATACATATATATTTGTATATGTATATATAAGGTTGTCCGTTATTTTTCTAGTTGACTTTTTTACTTGCATACGCCCGCTGAAATTTCAATTGTTGTCCTTAAAACAAGTATTCAAAGCAAACCAGCTTTTCAGCTTCCAACTGAAACTTCAGGCGGCGTTTGCAAAATGAAATCAACTTGGGAAATAACGGACACCCTAATGTATATAGGTATATATATATCTAAAAAAGAAACATGCAATAATATAAAACACAAAGAAGTTGTATAATAAAAGTTAAATATATTAGATTATAAAAATTTATTACCATGGGTGTCTTTGTAGAGGCATACACATTTTACGTAAAATATAAGCCTATAAGCAACTTGGTTGGCTTTGTAAATAGTATTGCTTCGTTAGTCAAAAGAAATAAAGAAATTTAGTGTGTGTATGTATATAATTTCGCGACAAGACTACAACTATCATTTTGAGCAGAGCTTGAAAATAATTTTTACACAGTTTTGAAATTAACTTTTATTATTTTTAAATGGTTTTTTGTTGTTAGACTTCGCATGTTAATTTACCAAAGTATATTTACCATTAATGTCAAACCTTGACAGCTGGTTTGACAGTTATTCCTCTAGAAAATACTTAACAAAAAAAAAATGTAAGTGATGCCCATATTGTTGACAGCAGTCTAAATTGAAAATTTAGTTAGTAATTTTTCAAAGTTTACTCAACATAATTGCCAAACAAATATGCTTACTCTGACAGCTATCCCTGTAAGAAATTATATGCATGTACAAAATACCATATTCACTTTCTAGAACCCTATTTTTTCTTCGCAAATTATTTTAAAAGCAAGGAAGATTATGTTTCCGCGGTACCAAAATAGAAATATTTTTGAAAATTTTTGTGAATTTAAGAGCCATGAAAACCTTGTAAAATTTAATCAAAAAATTGGAATCGAAATTTGGTATTCGTATTTCGGCGACTAAGACCACTTTCCCTTCCTTTTTGTTGGTAGAACTTTAATTAAAAAAATTACTAAATATATTTAAAAGCTCTGTATTAAAGGTGGAAAGGTAGCAGTAAGTTTAGTAAGTCTGCTCTTTTTTTATTTTTTGGTTATCAAATTACCATATCAAAATTTAATAGGCTATTTTGCTTAGCCAACAAATTGTACGCCACCTAATTTATTGAAGGTAGCAACCACTACATTGAAGACTGAGTCCAAATATATACCTATTATTATTATTTTTTTAAATTTTGGAGAAAGCTTCCTGATATTGGGTGTAATGTGATAAGTTCACTCTCGATATGATCCTAAATATATACCATATGTACAAGTTGTAATAAGCTGAAGGAAATCAAGAAAGCAATATATGGGAGGTGGACGTGGTTTTGATTTGATTTATTCATATTCGAAACTCTATGCGCTAGTTTTGGTTTAAATTATACACACATTTTTACAAAAGTAGGTGTGGTAAATTAAAAAAAAAATTTTATAATTCGAGAAAAGCTTTAATGTAATGATTGAGATATATTAATTTTTAATATAAATTTGAAATTTTTGTTTTATTATTTTTAATGATAGCTAAATTTCGAACTTATAAATTTTAGTTGGAATTTTTAAAAGAGAAATTAAAAAAAAACTTATATGCGAATTTTATAATTAAAAATTTTTAGTCACATTTTGTGCGCATAAAATGTCTTATTTTAATTTAACATTTTAAGCAAAAAAAATTTTTTTTTGATAGAACAAATTTTTTTTAATTGGTATATTTTAAGTTAATTTTGAAGTTTTTTTTTTAATTAAATTTTATATAAATATATTTTGAATTTACTTATACAATTTATGTCTATTTTTATGTATTTTTTTAAAATAAATTTTATATTTATATAAAAAATTTTTTTTAATAAACTTTTTTTTATATTAAAAAAATGTAGTACATACATAAATGCTTATGTTCACTGAATTTTCAGTTTTGCCCTTATACAATGAAATATTTTGCATACGTAACGCGGATATGCTGCTAACTAGCAATATTAAACGCCAACGATTTATGACAAGAAATCACAGTGAGGTAAATGTATTGTTTTATTCTTTCAATTTCACTACTTAATTGGCAAAAACTGCAAGTCATTGTGACGTAAATATAACGTAATAGTTCATATGTGCATATATACTTATATAGTACATATGTACATACATAATATAGGGGTATATACCTACACTGAAAGTACTAGTATCTAATAGGCTGTATGGGAAACACATGCAGTTCCATTCAAAAAAATACGAATTGCTTACTAGCCTTTGTACTCATCTAAAGTACAATTATTATTGCACACACACTTACACGTATTATACATCTATACTTATGTACTTGCATAAAATTAAAAGTCTCCACTAACAAAAAACTTGAAATTATGCACTCGCTCATTCATTTAAATTTCAATGCCTTTCTACAATGTCTGAACTTGCATTTGCTTTGGGCTGTATGTATGGATATAACAGTACGTGGAATTACATGTATGTATATCTATTCACATATGTATATACACACATAAATAATGTTTGTTGGCCGTCAAAATGCAAAATTTACGACTTCAAACGTTACACCGTTGTAAAAATCATTTCAATTAATTTTAATGTGCGCTGTACAGAAAAACAAATGCATAACATACAAACAAAAACAACAAAATTACAAAAAAAAAACAAGAGAAAACGTTTAATTCGGCTGCAACGAAGCTATAATACCCTTCTGAGTTGCATTTTTTATAGCATAAAAGGGTATAAAAAGATCTTTAGGTGGATTTTGATCGCTCAGTTTGTATAAGAGCTACATGTTATAGTAGTTCGATCTTAACAATTTCATCAGATATTGCATATGTTCCTTAAATAATAACGTGTGCCAAACTTCGTGCAGATATCTCGTCAAATGAAAAAGTTTTCCATACAAACACTTGATTCCGATCGTTCAGTTTGTATGGCAGCTATATGCTATAGTGATCCGATCTGAACAATTTCTTCGAATATTGCATTATTGCTTTAGAAAATATTTCGTGCCAAATTTCGTGCAGATATCTCGGGAAATGAAAAAGTTTTTCATACAAGCACTTGATTCCGATCGTTCAGTTTGTATGAGAGCTATTCAATTTAAGCGATCCCGACAAATAAACAGCTTCTTGGAGAGAAAAGGAGGTGTTCAAAATTTCAGAACGAAATCTCAAAAATTGAGGAACTGGTTTCTCATGGCTTTTAAAACTTGGTGGCAAATTTTGTATATCCTGTTCAGGGTATAATTACAATAACAACAATGGCTTGGTAGAGTAAAAATGTGAAATTGCAGCAAGCAATAGGAAATAGCAATAGCAATGGAAGCAGAGTGAGCAGGAATTGATAAATAGATGTATGTACATATGCATAGATGTAGGTATATATGTATTTATATATATAGTGTACATATATATGTTTTCTGTATATACGCAAAACCATGAACTTGCATTTGTTGCACTGAACAATTCCACTCATAAATAAATTTATATCTGTGACATATTTATGTTTGCCAGCGTTTGTCTACATACATCCGTACATATATATCCACACACACACACACACAGAAGCAATAGACTTCAATGTTATTAAATTTGATTTTTATTGCGGAAACATTTATGCCAACATTGATGCGCAATCGACATTTTTGCGCGCCAAGCCAAAGCAATGCATAAATATGTATATGCATGTGTGTGTGAGTATGCATATTTGCTCTCATATACCATAAATATACATACATACCGGCACTTTTCCACATGCCTAATTTATGCGCTCAATTATATTGTTCGAGCAGTGACAGGGTCCAGCGCTTGCAACTGACACCGTTAATTACTGCTGTCGCCCCTCTCGAGCTACCGGCAGCAATAGCTAGCTGTAAAATGAAAACGTTGAGTTTTTAGAAAAAAAAAAAGGTTCAATTAGCGGCAACTGCCAGAAGATGTCATTTTTATTGAGGCTTGCAAGGGAAATTCGCAATAAATGACATTAATGGGAAAAGGGGTATTGAATTTGAAGGTCAAACACATATTTTATATTAGAAATATTACATGGTTTTCACTTTACTGTTTAATTTTTGAGAAGAGTCAACGCTGTTAGACAGACTGGTCTCATACGAAACACTAAACGGTCGTTTTTATATCGGCTAAAGATACTCAATAAATAGGTTTTGGGGTTCCTACGATTTAGCTAGACCTGACTGTCTTATGAACAGATATGCATTGCTCTCGAAAGTTCTAGCAACAATCCTTACACGAATCAGTCGAGTCTATGGATAAGTTAGTCTAAAGAAACAGTTCCCACAAATCTTACTCAAAATTGGCTAGATCCATGTCTACACTACAATATCAAGAAAATTTAAAATCATTCATCACTGACATTCATCAAAGCATTTCTCAAACTATGTGCTCTTTGGTCTACTGATTTTTCAGGGATTGGGTCTGTACCGAATGCACTGATGTATCACCGAATCTATCGACGGTCCATGTCGTTCCCACGATAGTAGGGTCTACACAACCGGAATGAGTTCGGATTTTTTTGTGGCTAGGGACAACTCTATAATATTATGTATATGGTGCAATTACTCAAACGGTCGAATCTGTAAGCCATTTCTTTGAAAACTATATGAAAACCATATCAAGTACTCACTTGCTCTGACACTTCTCTTACTTATTTTTTAAATAATAATGATCATAGAACTAAAGCAACACCAAAGCTTTATGAAATCAATTGATACTTCAGAGTGAGCAATTCTAGTATTATTTATGAAGATATTTATACGTTGAGGCATACTTCACCATACACTCTGCATTAGCACTCGGGTCTCATTGCTTCTTCTTTCATCAGTTTTTTATCCATAGCAGGTGACATGACTTTAATTATATTACAATCAAGACGGTATCAACAGTTAGCTGGTTAGAATGTACCTACAGAAACATACTCATTAGATCTAGAGTTGGCATATATTTTTCTAAACTGTCTCTCACTTAATTGTCAAACCTGAAATCTTATATCGCAGACTTAAGCTTGACATTTAAACGGTTTAATGTCAAAGCTCGCAGAAAAAAAAGTAAAGTATTAGTAACATATCGTTAGCCTACCACGCCCCTTACTAGTTATGCTTAGCTGCTAGCTATGGTCTAAGCCGTGACACTGCAAATCAGCATGAGTACAAACGAAAAAGCAAAAAAAAAATTAAAAAATAATAAACAGCTGGCACAAGCGTTTTAGAGAATTTCAAGAAGAAATGAAAATTAAAATAATGCCTATGGTCAACAACATTTACGAGTGTGTATGGTAATGAGAGTAATTTTTTTTAACTATTATTTATTTGTTTACAACACGAGAGTTAACAACACACACATACAAACCGGTAGTGTTGCTCTCTTGACAGCTGCCAAACTGGCGTTAGCAATTTAAATGCGCCACTGCTGCCACAAATTGCCAACGACAGCCTGCAACATGTGGCTAGCAACATATGCAATATTAAGTGGCAACGCTGGTAATTCACAACAACTGCAAATGGCCAAAACAACAAGCTGCAGCCACAGCTAACAACTGCCAAACTGTCAACTTACCAAAAGACGCGCCGTCGGCTACTGCGATACTGCAGCCACTTGGCTTGCCGCTAGCTAGAGGTTGCTCACACTTAATGCCGACTGTGGCGTAAATTACTACTTCACTAGAAGTAATAAATATATTATAGTGTAGCTACTGCTTGACTTTCGTGGAAAAGCTTAAATAATCAAGTGGACGAAGTGTGTGGAAAAAAAAACGAAAATAAAAACACAAAAACCACACGAAGTTGAAAGAAGAACAAACTTTTAAATAAAATATGAAATGACACGATTTTGAGCTTTTCTCAGTAATTGTTCGGCTTCGGCTTCTTGTTGTTTTTTTATTTTTAATATATATAATTTTTCTCTGTTTTGGCTTTCCGCGTACTTATTTTTATATTTTTCTGTACAGTTGGCAGCTTGACTTGTGGTTCTTCTAGGTGGTAGCATGATTTTTAGCTAGAAACAAATACAGATAGGCTTGGTATAAAGGTGAGATGAGTGGAATTACAAGTAGAACAAAGCAGCTAAATGCTATAGTGGTCTGGTATGAACAATTTGTTCGGAGATTGTAGCGATGCGTTGGAAAATTACGTGTCGTGAAGATATTTTCTCAATTGAAAAAGTTTTCCATATAAGCACATGATTGTTGATCGATCAGTTTGTATGACATCTCAAAAACTGAGAGAATATTTCGCTTATATAGGACAGACAAGCAGACGGACATGATTATATCGATACAGCTCGTCATGCTGATCATTTATATACTTGTATGTATATACTTTATAGATCTTCTGACGTTTCCTGCGGGGTGTTACAAACTCTGTGACAAACTAAGGCATTTTTACCCTAAACAGGGTATAGAATTCAGGGTATAAATATCTAAATATGTTTCTTATAACAGGTTAAAAACGAGAGGAAATCTTTCCTTAAAAGCCGTCCTCATAATTCCAGGAAAAAATCGCTCTTTGATCTGCAAGTAAGGATGTACATTTATTTAACTGAATAACGAGTTATAAAGTGCAGACAGCGTCATTAGCATTTTCTAGAGTTATACTTGTAGTCTCGGTCTGGTGTTAGAGCGCCCGAAATCATAAATGTTTTAAGATTTAATTTAAATTTGAGGCGTCTTGGTTTGATATTTTTTACTCTCCTCACACTAATACTTTGCTCGTTTTTTGATGACGAGGTTTATGTAGTGTGCAGTACAGTATTAGTTATCGTTTAAAGCTTTAAACTTCGTCATCAAAGTTATTACTTTGGACGAAGTCGATCAAATTGTAAAAATTATAATGAATATTGTCGAAAAGCAATGATGAAAAGGTTTACTTATATAGTGATTAGAGACAACATACACAAGTGTTTCCCCGTTATAAATCTTAAGTGCAGATCCTGATAGTCTTTAAATATATGTTAACCCCATTTACTGGGTAATTATTATCATGCTTTATAAAAATGGCTTTGAAAGTTCCAAACACTAGAAACTAATGCTTAAACTTAAGTCTAGTTTTAACGCACTGCTCAAAAAAGGTCCATATAGCTGATTTAGAATTCTAAGAAACTGTTTTGTAAGATATTGAAAGAAAGCGGTGAAGATTTTACTTGAAAATTTATCAATTTTCACTTTACCGTTAACAAACTTTTTCACACTGCCGCTTTTATCTATATAGCATATGCATATTATATATCTACACATACATATGTATGTACCTATGTACTCGTATTTGTAAATATGTATGTAGATATGTTAACCGCAAAGCGCGCGCACGAGCTCATAAATACGCCGAAGCTGGTCAGTAAACAAGCGTTAACAAGCCAGTTGACGGCAGTGGAATCGGGTCAATGGTGCTATCACGATACGGTACACATACATATGTATACACACAAATTTACATGTATGCACGACGCGCAAGAGTACTCTTACAAAATTTTGCGGGCGCTGACAAAATTTAGGTCGTCCAGTGAGCTGTGACAAAAACAAAAAATTACAACAAAAATAATAAAAACAGCAACTCAGTGCGATGTGCAGATAATAATTGTTATATTGTATAAAGATTGTGGCCATGTCACAATGTGCATTGTTGTATTTTCTGGCGTGTTTGTTGTAGATTGTATCAGTTTACATGGCGCTCGTATCAAGTATAGGGTGTAATTAAAGCTCCTACTTAATTTTAGTGATTTCTTGTGTCGCTTATCGCTGTGTGTTCTGTTTATTTTGAATGTTAGTCGGTTTGTCGCTTTTCTTTTTTGGTTTGCAAAAAATACAACTTGCATGAAATATAAGCGCTTCTATATGTCACACACATTTATATATAAATAAATTTGTTTCTCACTTTTACCACAATTTTTTAGTTCTCATGCTTTAATTAATATGTTCAGACTTTTTAATGTCCGTTTTTTTAATTTTTAATTAACAAATTTAAATATTAAAATTTTTTTTATATATTTCGCTTATCACCAGAAAATTGAAAAATAAATAATTTAAGCAGCTACAAATTAGCTTCCACTAAGCGCTTGATTTCTGTCAGCTAGCTGATAAATAATTATATATTATATATAGGTATATACATATTGTTTTTGCCACCTAATTTATGCAAATTGAATGCTGTTGTCTGCTCCCTCAACTCTACACTAGTAAATTGAGCTTATTCGGCGATAACTATACTTTTGTTATAATTATTACTGCCTTTACTGATTAGTTTCGGTTTTTGGTTCGTTGATTCTAATTTATAAAATCGATTTTTTCCCATTGTTACTATTTTATTTTCGAACGTCAAACTTAGTAATGTTGAACATTCTGGTAGTAGTGACGTGGATATTTGAAACTTGTTTCTAATTTTTAGCCTTACCGTCGTTATCGTTAACATAAGCCGTCGCATTACGAAAAGGTTACAATAGTTATTTTTTATATTTTTATTTTTTTTATTTCAGAGCGATTTCAAATAATCCTATACAACCTTGAAATACCCTTGCTGCCTCTATGTTTTGCATTTCATTTATCAATAATGTGACCATTTAAAATTCTCAATAGGTTTATCATAAATTATAATTTCTGTTTTTTGGTAATAATGAAGATAAGTAGCAGATATGAACGCAACATTGTCCACACACATTTTACTATCTGTATTTTAACCAAATTAAATTATGGAAGCAGGCAATAACCACACTCTCAGCAGGTAGCTCGGTTAATAACATCAGGGAACCCAGTCATATAGGAATAGAAGTAAATAAAAAGGCAGATGAGCTGACCCGCTCGACGGCAGCTGGAAATACAATTCCCCTAAGCTGCCGCAGATCATTCAGCTTCGTGAAGCGTTGC